AAATCTGCGGGGAGCTATGCAAAAAACGCATCTTCGCACGGGCAGCCCGTGCGCTGGCCAATTATTTTTTTACGAATTTGGAGCTAAAATGGAAGGCGATGACACACCTGGGCCTCGAAGCTTAATTCAGCATTAAAAGTCAAAACCCTCGCCATGTTCGCTTCCTATGTGAAGTGGAAACATTTGGGAGTATCCCTAAGAGCAGAAAATACCAACAGCAACTATTGCTGCCGATGGTCTCTTTTTTCAAGGATCACTTACAAGCAGACTTTTACGTGGGAGCAATAGGCGTCGGCTGAGATGGCAACGCTGCATTGCGAGGCCTCGTGAAATTTCGGTTTCCTAGCTTCTCTAGTTGCTGGGTCGGAACTGAATAACAATACGAACATGCGCGCACGTCAGCATTTTGCATTCATAAAAGTTGCAAATGCGCATAATAAAAGCAAAGTCATAATTATATGAAATCAATAGCGGTGTGCACCAGGAAACAGTAAACACACTCAGGAAAATATTGCTGCCTGCTGAGTTTGGTAACGGAGTTAATTGTATGTCAGTAGTGTCCCAAACTAAATTTTCGCTTGCCTGCAGGCGAGAACTAAGTGTGCTTTGAAGCTGATTTTGAAATATTTGAGTCGGACATGGGCATAAAATATCCTTGTAATATTTCACTGATTGGCAAAATTGCTCTTTGCTACAAATATTTTTGACATGTCCGAATGTGCCACACAAACATAAGCCAATATTTACTTTGCGTCTACAAGCTCGCACTTTGTGAAATCAGGACATTAGACTCAGTTTAATCCTCGAATTGACATTTTACCAACACTGCCTGGCTTTCAATTTTGATGTCCTTGCTCGTAGCATACGAGTGCGCAATCGCTAAATCTCAAATCTCTTGCTTACACTGGGCAGAGAATGTCCCAAATGAAGTTCCGACTTCCTAATCTCTCCAGTTTCTGAGATCGTTCTCCTGCCAAAAAATTTAAATCTTAGGTCGTATGTAGTTGAGATCCAGATGTGCGTGAACGTTGATTTTAAATTGTCGGGATCGCATGTGGGTTATTAACATTCGCATTGATATTCTAGCTTTTTAGTTTCTGGTGATTGTTAAGTTGAATGTGGTGATAAAAAACGGAGCGCACAGACAAACAAGCACACCGAAGAACTCTTGCCACTATGCAATTTTGCATTTACATAATGCGAAACATGAAATCGCCAATATGCGTTTCCGGTTTTGTATAAGTGCGCCAAACGCATTAAAAATAGTTATCCAAAAAGGGTGATAAAGAAAATCTTCGAAACTACTCCCAGCTACTTACCCAAACACTTTTTCGGAAATTAGAACTAGCTAACTCGAAGACTCGTTGATGAAGAGTAGCCGTGATTGTGGGCTGAATTCCTAATTAATTACAGCACAACGGATTACATTTTTAATGTAACTGCGTATGTTTTCTTTTCAGAGTTGAATTCAATGTTGGAGATAAGCCGGTAAATAAGTTCCGCATGATTGAACGGCATTTTTTCCGCGATCGTTTATTGAAAAGTTTTGATTTCGAATTCGGTTTTTGCATTCCAAACAGCAAAAATACGTGCGAACACATTTACGATTTCCCGAAACTTTCAGAATCTCTAAGTAAGTTAATTTTGAGTGGGTCATCTGTCGATATGTAATCCAATATGGATGTTTTTCAAGTAGTTGTGTTAAAATGGGCGCATTCTTGATCAAAATGATTCTCCCCATTCTGCACTCCTGCATACTTATCCGCTGTTTTATTCGTAACAATCGTTTTGGCACTTCCTGAATCCGTTGTTTTCTGAACAAGCATTATCAGCTTTTGACTGTTTATGAACTTCTGCAACCATTTTTCTCCCTCCTTCGCTTGGCTGATTTTCACATTTTTTCCGCAAGATTTCTATAAGTGTACGTCAGCCAGCATACTAAATTTGCTCATATTTTTTGCATTTTTTTGCTTTTTTTGCGTGTATGTAATGCAAAAACACATATCGTTGAGGAACTGTGTGTATGTGTGTACCTAGTTTTAATCTCGAGATCTACAAAAACCACAAGGCTGGAACTTTGGCAACTTAATCTGCACCTCTGTGTGGATCCCTACCCTCAGAATGGGCGCTCGTGCCCTCTCACATACAGGCACATGAGAATTTTTGACAGGAAAGCGATTTCGGGAACCACATAAGCTAGACGACTGAAAATTCCCAAAGATGTTCCTTGCCCAACTCAAAGATTTTAAATTCAGCTTTCATGCACCCCTAAGTCTCGTGTACGCACACGTCAAAGTTTAAATTGGGGTTTTGACAACTCATGAATTAAACTGACCAGGAAGCTGCAGAGTTATAATTTTGCAGCGTTGACTTGCCGCTCAATGATGTGCTCGCGAAAGTAATTTGAGCTTTCCAGCCCTTCTGTATCTCATCTACGGACACGAAAGTTCCGTAACTTCGGAACTGAAACAGATGGATGGCTGAAATTTTCTGAGCGTGATGTTTGGCCAGATGGACGTAAAAGCAACTTCCACGTTCCTTTCATGTCTTAGGTATATGACAGGTGCGAAAACGTGAAATTTGACGTAGCTCCACAATCGAAGCAGGAAAGCGCTCAAATTTGCTGTGCATAGTGCAGGACTGTGTTTGAGCAGGGATAACAAAAAACAACATTCACTTTTTCCCTCACGTACAATCACGTGGATAACCCGGCAGTAAAGACCCCCAAAGTGCTCAAATTTCCTGAACATCTTGCACGACCATGTTTGGGAAGGCGCGTGTAAAAAAGGGATTTCACTTTGGCGTTCATTTCAGTTCAAAACGAAAATCAATGCCTCGGCCGTATTAAAGTAGAAATAGTCTAAATAATAGCAAATGACAAAGGCAACCATTCTCTGACTTTCGGAGATTTCTTAAAAGCAAGCTGTTGATGTGCTATTTATATCTCAGCCACGACAAATACTTTCTTTTACCTTTCAGTGAAATGAATTAAATGGATCTTATTAATCACAACAAAATTAATTATCCCAAATTTCAGTAAATGAGATGATTTCAAGTCCGTATGAAACACGTTCCGACAGTTTTTATTTTGTCGAGGATCGACTGATCATGCATAACAAAGCAGATTACGCGTATAACGGAGGCGATTAAACTACATATCGTACTTCGCTTTGTCTTTTCTTTACCATTATTGCATAGATCTTGTTTGGCAGTATTCTTTGATCCTCAGTGTCGAATTTGTTATTTTTTTAAAAACAAACTGCACTTTTTTTTGAAAAAAAAGGCACAGACTGGAATGCATCAGGCTTGTCGTTGCGATTATGCACTTTTCTGCACTAAACTTGAAGCAGTCAGGTCGCTAACTATTTGAATGATTGTTGCTTAACATTTACCTGTGTACTCATTGGCGCAAATCTTATAATTTGTGAAAAGGAAAATGAATAATTTCTGTTTGACGATGGTTTTTATGCGTTTTTGCGTATGTGCAAATGCAAAAGCGCATATTGGCGACCCATGGTTTGTGTTCATGTTTGTGTGTGTGTGTGAGTGTGTATATGTGTGTGTGTTCGTGTGCGTCTGTCCAGGTATTTCGATTTGGCAGCCAAGCAAGCTTCGGCGCTTAAATTCTGCCAGTGGGTACCCCTGACAAGTGCCACTCCAAAACCGCAGTGTTAACCCTCATGCACGCCTGAGCCCCGCGTACAAGCATGTGGAATTTTTGATGGGAAAACTGCTAACTCGAGAACTAGAAAAGCCGGAAAGCTGAAATTTTAAAGAAATGTTCCTCGTTTACGTTCAACTTAAACATTTCAAATTCAGCCCCCAGACACGCCTGGCTCACGCACTGGCACTTAAAAGCTTTGGCCAGTAAATTACTTACTGGACAGCTAAGCCACTGTCAAAGGCGAAAATTATGCATTTTCGTTTATTCAAAATTCACGATGATTTATGCTAGTGAGCGCACAACGTTAGTGTAAAGCAGCTGCTACTCATATAATTAACGACTTCGAGTTTAGTGCAGAAACGTGTGATCGCGCCAACAAGCCTGATGCGTTCCATCCTAAGGTGTTTCTTTCCGTTTAAAAATCTCTTATTGTTTTCATAGGTTTACAGGCTGTGTCACTTAGTGGCATGTAACGGCTTCTCTGTTGCTGAAGATCAAGGCTTCGATTTCATGTCTCTTTACGACTCGCTTATTCTTTTCGATGGCAATCTAGTCGGCGTCATTTCTAAGCAGTCCTCGAAAAAGGGAGCCACCGGCTATCTTACCGGCGAATAGTTGCTTTTTGCACCTATCCCGACTACTTCCGAGTGTTTCTGCTGCTAATAATAGTGTAAATGCGGCGAAAGGTTTTTTTGATCATGCTTTTAAATGAAATGTAAATATCTGTTCTCTCATTGTTTTACGGTTGGTTGAGCTTTTTAACGCAGCAATCACAATGGGTTTTTTTCTCATTCCATTATTTTTAATTACTTCATAACTTATTGTAAGAAAATTTTTCAATGTCTGTGACTGTGCTGCATCATGTCAATCATAATGGATAATAAAAACCAGCTTTTGAATTGTGCTCGCACAATACGAAACGAACGTTGGGAAAAGATTTGTAAAAATCCACAAGAAAGCCGAGATGAGATCACATGTGTACAGGAAATTCGAAAGCGAACAAAATGGAAGCATTATTAACTGCAGTGGCCATGGCAGCGCAGTGTTGAAAGAGAAGCCCTTCAAATTGCAATAATTAACGGCGCACCAAAATTACCGCTATAATCATGCGTTTTTGCGTAGCTTTGTGAAGCAGCATGATCTTTAAAACTTCGTCGCTTCACAGTTTGATAAGTGCGGTTATGTCAGAAATGTTCTTGTTGGTCTTTTCCACGTCCGAGGGAAGAAGACATTGGTTGAAAGGATGATGGTGTCGCACCGTGTCGCCTCGTGAAATTTCAATTTTTAACATCTGTGGTTGCTTTAGAGAAGGATGTTGGCAGTTTTGCGAATACTTGGATTCACGATTTTTCGTATTTCTAGCTTTGCCAGAATTTGAATGAATACTTGGGAAAGTGCAAGCTGTCGATAGAAAGTTGAAAGATGAATTTAAGCGGTTCGACGACTCTTTGAAATGGGAAGGTGAGAGATGAATAGTGCCAGCTTTCCGTGCGCAACAGGAAACTAGATAGGGAAAATTAGTTGTTTTCTTGGATATTGCATTTAACATATCCAGTGTTTTGTTCTGACAACTTCTGAACATCGATTATCAGTGGGTGATTTGCGCATGGGATGAAATGCCACTTGTGATACTTTCAAAAAAAGCGAAAAATACGTCGAAAGTCGGAGCTCTCTTCGCGCTTACTTTCTTGCGTGACTAGGAGCAGATGAAAATTAGTAGGCAACAGCAGCAACAACAAAAAAGTTGATGGCTATCACATTTGGGGTTTGCTGGATGCATGCTGGTGAGGGCGGCGCGCACCTGCTGTACAGGTATTTGCTGCTATTTCAACTCCTCCTGTGCTCCTTTTGCATTTTTCCTCTGGGTTGCCTTAGTCACTACTGTGTGTGTGTGTGTGTGTGTGTGTGTGCGCGCGTGTGTGTATGTTAATTTGCACTGTTTCATACTAATCTTTAAGATGTTCTAGTTCCGTAAGAATGCTTCCAGTGAAGTAAGGTGTTAATTCAAAGCGGTGGATTTGGTTGTGAAAAGTTAATTTTTTTATTCGGCAAGTGAAAAAGTTGTTATTTTCAGGCACTCATAATTTTTTTTACTTGGCTTGAGGTTAAAAATAAATCCCACTATGCGCTTTTGTTGTACGGCGCTACAGCGCTACTACATTGAGCCAAAACGCATATTGTGTGTGTGTGCGTTCAGAAACAAGTGAACTTGTCAGCCATTTTCAAACCAGCAGCCACGCAAGCTGGGAGGCTGAAATTTCGAAAACACATTCCCAGCCATGTGTCACCCTCCCGTCTTGAAATCAGCGCTCATAAGTGACCAGATCCTGTGTGCGGACCCTCAAATTTTTTTAACAAGGGGCAATTTCGAGAACCAGACAAGATAGAAAACCGGAACATTGCGAAGAAATTCTCTTTGTGCATATGAGTTAAAGATTTCAAATTGAGCTAACAGGCACTTCTATACCACACTTGCTGACAATTCAAGTTCCGCATTTGGCACTGAGCCAGCTCGAAAACTGTTCGGAAAAAATAGCTGTAATTTTGTCAGAATATTTGGCGCCCATCTGAAAAATCATGTGTCTAAATGGAATTTCGATTTGCACCTGCGCCGCGCTTTTGGGTGCGACAGCGAGAATATCCAAAGGCATTTTTTGCAGGGATGTTCTACACTTGTGTTCGGCTTTACTGCAGCTTGGAGGCGAAATTCCTTGCACGCTTATATGAAAAATACTCAATTTTATCATAAACTCAAATGAGAGTGCGTTTGCAGACTTCGTAATCCTGCTTCCTTAATTATTTTCGAACGATTGTTCACCTGAAAAACAACCAAGCTTCATGCAAAAGATTGATAAACATACATAGCACAGATTTAGGCGGCTCTATAATACAACACTTTCGCCCCAGCTGACGTCCTTTTTCCGCAAGTAAAAGAAAAAGCTAAAATACAGCCAATATAAGTGCACGTGTTAAAACATAACTCAGGAATCATTCCCGCTATTAAGAATCTGCAAGTTTAGCTCTATGACGCGCGATCGCACCGGCAAATCTGATGTATTACCACCTGTGTTGATTGCTTGAAACACAGATAAAAGCATTGTGAACTGGGGCACCTGTCGCAGAAACAGCTGAACTGTATTCGCTTCAAAAGACAAATGTAATGACAGGATTACCAGAAGACTGATGCTTAGGAGAATTCCAAAATGTTCTGCCACAATGTTTCCAAAACTCCCGTCAAAAAATGCACATTCTCATTGGTGATATCGTTGTGTCGCAAAGACACGAAACCCCTATAGCTTGACATTCAGGCGGTAAAAGCAGAACTGCATTTCGGAAGAAGGCAGCAAGTAAAAGTATCATGGGCAACTATGTGGGCATCCCGGCACAAGCTTTATCCCTTTGAACTGGATTACCTACTAACTGAAAAGTTAACACATTCACTGTGTTTTCGGAGATTATCCGGAAACCCCGCTCCTTCCCTCAGAAGTCGCTCCCTGATAGGCAGTATTCAGGAATTTGCAATATACTGATGGATTTGCCGCTCAGCGATACAAATTCCTAGATACTTTTTATGCGTTTTTTGCAGCTACGCAGTGCAGAAAACGCATATTGACAAGAGATTGTCTTTGTGTGTGTGTTTGCATGTGTGTGTGTGTGTTTGTGTACGTGTGTGCGCTACGCGTTTGTACCGATTTTTCATCTCGAGACTCACAAAAGCTACTGGGGGCTGGAGCTTGGGGAACTTAATCTACATGCATGTGCGGACTTCAATCTCCGAAATGGGCGCTCTCATCCGCAAGGTACTCACGCACGGGCCCACCAAAATTTTTTTGGGTAAGTTATTAAATTGAGAACCTGAAAAGAAAGAAGGCTGAAATTTTAAGGGAGTGTTCCCCGCCCAAGTAGATATTAATGAGTCCAAACCCAATCTTCGGGTATGCGTGGTACCCACGCACGGGCTCACCAAAGCTTTTCGCAGTTAAGTCGCTAATTCAAGAATCTGAAAAGCTATAAGACCGTAATTTTAAGAGGATGTCCCCGTCCACGCAAGTCTCATCGAGCTCAAGCCCTGACATCGGGTATGCGTGGCACCTACGTACGGGCCAATGTAAGTTTTTATCGAATATGTTGGTAACTCAGTAGCCAGGAAAGCCAGGAAGCTGAAATTTTAGAGGGGTGTTTCCCGACAATTCTGGCGGCCAGACTTAATTTGTTTAGCTAGAAGCATATGCCGGAAAAACCGGTGTCGGTAGCGACAAATATCTGCGGAGAACTATGCGAAAAGCGCATCTTCACACGGCAGCCCGTGCGTTTGCCAATTATTTATTCTCTGAGAAAGAGCAAGAAGCAATTGTTAAACAGAACAAAAGATTACTTCATAATTAATTTGTCATTGAGGCCCTCTAGTTTCACGATGAAATCGCAAGTCGCACGACATGGACAATCCATGCGGAATCGGCAAGCTGCAATACATACAGATAAATGA